AAAAAATTAAAACTATAAATTAAAATTATAATTTTTATGAAAGTATTGTTAATATCATTAAGATAAATAAATAAAAATAAATTAATTATCCAACTAAAAAAAATTAATAAAAAATAAAAGATCTTAAATAAAAAATTTAAAATTACTGTATATATTATTTAATATTTAAATTTAATTATTATTTTGATGATATACGATAATATAATTTAATATCATAAAATAATAAAATATGTAAAATTTTTATATAAAAACTTTAAAAAATAAATAAGTTTATTGATTACCGACAATTTACCGGTTACTGATACATGACTACATGTATACAACCACAGATTTGTACTGTATGTATGTGTGTATGTGTGTTTAAAAAATCTAATCATATGATATAAAATAAACAGAATATTTTCTTTATTATATTTTTCTTTATTATAATATTTCTTTATTATATTTATACAATACTAAAAGATTTTATTTATAAATATTCTAATATACATTTTCAATTATCTTTATTTGTATAATTATATTGGCTCTAGCAGAAACAAGCTATCAAATCTATATTCTTTTCAAGAAAGTTTTTCCAATTCTACAGTATAAATATATATATATATATTGTGTGTAATTGGAAGAAATCAATTGTAATTGAAAAGAATGTGAATCTAGTTGGTTGTTCAATAAAATACATTTAATCAAGTATTATATATATACAGATAACATGTGATGAGTATGTGAATATCTTTATTCTTATATCATCTTCTTTGCCACGTGCAATGTTTAAGAGAAGATAAATACATATTTGAATATTTTGTAGTATATATATTAATAATTGTAGTATATATTAATAAAATAATTAAAAAAAGTAAGTAATTTACGTTGAGATTATAATTAAGATTTTATTTTTTTATTATATAAAAATTTATAAAGCGTATGCTGCTGAAATTCATCACTTTACAGAAGTTTAAAATTTTTGATTATGTTTTTATTATCGATTTATTGTTTTTTTATTACTCTTGAAAATTTATACTTGAAGCTTATAAAAAGAATTATTTTATTTAAGTTTAAATATAATATTAATAATTGTCTTATTCGATAGTAACAAAATAAAGTTTTATTTCTTTTATAATTTGTAAAAAATATTTTAGTTTATATATTAATTAAAAAAAAAAGAATTCTCATTATAAATTATAATGTAATTTATATCAAATTATATATTAATAATATTAATAATGTTATGATATTTAAATTATTTAAATATTTATTCTTATTTCTTATTTATATTTTTGATTTTTTGGAAATTATTCTTATTTCCAAAAAATCAAAAATTATTTTTAATTAATGTATATTAAATATTTAAAGAAATGTACTTAATAGAATAATAATGGAGCAAGGCTTTTCTACAAAAGCTATTCATGCTGGACAAGATTCATTACAATGGAATGACTGTTCAGTAGTACCTCATATTACATTATCCACTACTTTTCAACAAGATGGACCTGGGCAACCTAGAGTAAGTTCATTTTAAAAATTGAATAATTTTAACATATTTCACAAATTATTAAAAAATTAATAAAATAAAAATAAAAAGAAATTAGATATTTTTTTATTTCGAAAAATTAAATATTTACATTATATAATTTATTAATAATAATTGTATTAAATAATTATTAGCAATTGTTGTTTGTAAAATCATATTAAATTTATTGACTAAAAAATAAGTCAATTTAGTTCAGCAATATCTATTTATATATATAATTTATTATATAATAAATTATAATAAATTATATTTTTATTATATAATTATTTATAATATATATATATTCTTATTTCTCTTTATTTTTAATATATCATTGCAAAAAATTAAATAATATTTTATATATTTAATATTTAATTAATTATTTTATTTTAGACTTTTATTTATGGAAGAAGTGGCAATCCTACAAGAAATGTTTTACAAACATGTTTAGCTGCTTTAGAAGATGGAAAACATGGATTTGTTTTTTCATCAGGTTTAGGTGCTACAACAGTTTTAATTTCACTATTAAATGCAGGAGATCATATTATATCTGGAGATGATATTTATGGTGGAACTAATCGTTTTTTCAAAAATTGTTTAAAAAATATTTCAGTAACATTTGTAGATATGATAGACATAAATAATATCATAACCAATATACAACCAAATACAAAGGTAGATATTTTGAAATTTAATCTTATATTATATCAATAGATATAAATTTTGATATTGTTTAAAAAAATATAATATTTATATTTTCATTTAGATGATTTGGTTAGAGACACCAACTAATCCTTTACTTAAAGTAATTGATATTGAAGCAGTTACTCAAGCAGTGAAGCAAGTAAATTCTGAAATTCTTGTAATAGTAGACAATACTTTTCTAACATGTTATTATCAAGTAAGTATTTTTCATTTATTGTTATGATATAATTAAATAATTTATATAATTGTACATATTTTCTTTTATAGAAACCATTAAAGTTAGGTGCAGATATTGTAATATATTCTTTAACAAAGTATATGAATGGACATTCAGATGTTATTATGGGTGCAGCAATTACAAATAGAGAAGATATTGCAAATAGACTTCGATTTTTACAAAATGGTAATATATTAATTTATTTTTTTTTAATATTTGCTCTATTTGTATAAGTAATTTTTTAAATTATTTTTATTTTAGCTATGGGTGTTGTTTCATCACCTCTAGATTGTTTCTTGGTTAATCGTAGTTTAAAAACTCTAGAACTTAGAATGCAGCAACATATGAAAAATGGGCTTGCAGTTGCAGTATTTTTACAATCACATCCATGTGTAGAAAAAGTAATTCATCCATGTATGTATTTCTACGAAGAATTATAAATTTTACATAAAATAACTTATTTTATAAAAATAATTTATTTAATTATAGATTTACCATCACACCCACAGCATGAAATTGCTATTAGACAAACATCTGGTCATAGTGGAATGGTTTCATTTTATTTAAAAGGTGACTCTAGTAAATTTCTAAAGGCATTAAAGATATTTACATTAGCAGAATCACTTGGTGGTTATGAATCTCTTGCTGAATTGCCGTAAGTAAACTAAAAATAATTCTTTATTATGAGATATATTTAGACACGTGTTTTTATAATTATTATTATTTTAACTTTTTTCATAGATCTGTTATGACTCATGCTTCAATTCCTGAAGAAACTAAAGAAATGTTAGGTATTAATGATAAATTGATTCGTTTGTCTGTTGGTCTTGAAACTGAAAGGGATATTTTGGCTGATCTTGATCAAGCTCTTAAAGCTAGTCAATAAATGTTTTAATTTTATATGCATATTCATAGTGTTGAATTGCTAGTATAAATAACATATATGTTAATATGATATATTATATTTGGTGCATAATTATTGTGGCTTTTTTTCAACAAATTTTATTCAACAAAAACAATATTTAATAAAAACATCTTTAAATGATTATTCTGAAGCATATTCACCATCTACTTCAATTACTATTTTCCATTTGCTTGACAACCGGTCAATTTCATGGGTGAAGAAATTTCTGTTCTTAGGCAATTCATTCTTTGACACCGACCAGCAAGTCATCCAAATCATTCAAATCATCGTAAACTTTATTTGCGAGCCAATTTTTCAGTAATAGATTGATGTGATAGTCCGTAAGCGCTTCTGTCAGAGAATATGGCGAATGAGGAAGCCATTTTTGTCTGGAATCCGCCATTATTGACACTCATCATCATCATTCCACCAATAACAAATTTCGTTTGAAATGATTTCCTAGTGCTTTTGTTTGCTTTTGTTCCATCGAATACACCATATTGTGTTTTTTTTTTGTGTTATTTTTACAGTTCTATTTCTTATGTCTTTTGGTATTCTTTTAAGTGAAACACTTGGCGAAACACAAACCTTCTTTTTTTTAACGTTTTTAAAGAAATTTATTTACGATTTACGCCCAGTATTTAGAACGATTTATCCCCAGTAACGAGATTCTTCAGAAATGGAGTTTATTTATTTTGCTGCAGCAAATCGGTGAAAATTCGGATATGTTTGATTTTGTTGTTATCGAAAAGTTCGTGGGGGATTCATCTAGCCAATTTCATTCTTTTCCGAACTTTTTGAGACAATAAACGATGATCAAATAGTCCACATTGAAGTCTTTAGCCAATATTCTAATTATTAAGTTTTCATCCTCTTCCACAATTGTCAAAAGTGTCTAGTCGTCGAAATTTAATGATTGATCTCTTCATCTGCGAAGTTTTTCGCCCGATTTGAACTTCTTAAACCATGTTTCAACTTAGTTTTTGCTAATTGTTCCTTCGTAAAAAAGTTCGTTGAAATCGCGAAATGACTGTGCTACATTCCAACCTTTCTCGAAATGGTAGAACATAATGTGGCGAATATAGATTTTATGATTTTCGATTTTCATTAATTGAAAAGAGAGAATTATTTTTATAAAAAAAAATTAAACAAAACCAATTTTTAAAAGAAAAAAAAAAGTCGCGAAAAAAAGTCATAATAATTATGCACCGATCTAATATATCAATATATCAATCTATTATATATTAAACAGAAAACATATTTTAATTTTAAAGTTATATAAATTATATAATTTTTTAAGAAAAAAAATATATTACCAATCATATTTTCACATTCCATGCTATATTAATCTTTGAATATTAAAAATAGTGTACATACATAACTTATATTTCTAATGCCACATTTTACATATTTTTATATTAATCATTTTTTATAAAAAGTATAAGAAAAAGATGTAAAGTGCTATACAATGATAACTAAAAGAAATTTTAAATATTTATCACATTATAAATAATATAACTATAATTGTATAAATCACAATTGCATAAAAATAAAATTATTGAAAAAAAAAATATTTGAATCAAATATAATTTATTAAATAGAATAAAATAAAATATTTTTATTTATTTATGATTTTTTATATTTATAAATAATATAAAAAATTATTCTAAAGTATATTTAATAAATAGATTGTATTGAATTAAGAAAATTTTATATATACATATATTACTCTATTAAAAAAAATGAATTGTTTTTTCTTACATTATATTTGATTTTTATTATCATATAAATTTGTATTATGTTCAATTAAAATTGATTATTTATAAATATTAATTAAAACACATTTAAAATGCAAAATATATTTTTATGCCATTTTTTATTTAATATTTCAAATATTTAATTATTGTAATAAATAAAATATTGTATTATAAAATTGATACTAAATTTAATTTAATTTATTTTCTTTTTAATTAAAGTTATTTAAATTTTGCATTATGCAGATATTTTTTTTATCAAATTTCAAATTTTAATGATTTTGATAAATAATATTATTGTAAATTAACTTTAGAATTATATCGTAATTTTGCTTTGTTTAATTTATCATATTCTTGTGCCCGATTATATAATAATACTCCTATTATTACTAAAGATGTTCCCATAGCTGATAAACTAGTTACTGGATTATTAAATAGTAAAACAGAGAGCCAAATTAAAGAAGCTCTCTTTGCAGTATTAACAACACTGTAACAAAAAAAAAATATTATTATAATCAAATTCTCAAAATATCTTGTTAATAAGTATATATATATATATATATATATATTATCTATGTAAAATATTAAATATTATATATTATAAAAAACACACCTATGTGTTACAGGACTAATGTAATTCATAAGTACATATGCAGTAATACTTTGAAAATGAAAAAATACTCCATTAAGTAGAAATGCTATGAATAATTTAGAACTTAAAGAATGTTCAAGTGTTGGTAAATCTACAAATAATATCAAAACTGGTATTTGAACCACAATTGATGCTAAACTAGTATAGAATTGTAGTTCTGCAGGCCTGTAATTTTATAATATTGGTGAATATAAAAAATGTTGAGTATAATATAGATTAATAAATAAATAACTATTATTTATACAAAATATTTTATATATACATACATATATACTTACGTATATCTAAAATTATCACCACTGATTAACATTTTGGAATAAACATTTTGTAAGCATTCTGTTACATTTGTAGCCATAGCAGCAATAAATCCTCTGAGATCAAAACTAATTTCATTTATTGAACATAGAGCTAAACCACCCATTAAAGGAATTAAAGATAAATTTACATATAATCCTGTATGTTCTCCTATAAATAATATATAAAAATTATTAAATATAACTATCAAATATATATTCTATATATTAATTATCTCATATATCAATTTTAATTATGAAAAATAAGATTTTAAAAATATTTATTGAAAAATTACAATAATAATACAAAATGAAATATAAATTATATTATTATTATGATAATTCTTACCTAATAAATATCTGCTAATAAGGACGGTAAAAAGTGGTGCACTACTTTTTATGGTTTCTGTGAAACTCACTGCTACATAATTAAGTGATATTAGTCCTAATACTACAGTTGTAAATCTTGTACATCCAACTAGTATCATATGCTTATAAAAACCTGCTGGTCTCATTAATCTAGGACGTGCTTTATACATTCCACATGGAAAATACATTTGTATAAATCCACAAACTGTGGTTATTAACATTTGACAAGCACCTTTCAAAAAATAGATAAATATATATGTTATATACGTAAAATATGTAATGTAAAATAAATATTTGCAAAATACTTTAAATTTACAATTTTTATTATAAAATACAAAGATATTGATTATAATATTTTAAAAATACAATTTTAAATTATTAAAAAATATTTCTTTGATGAAATAAATTTTATATAGTATTAATTTACCTAAAATTGTAGGATTGCCTTCCATATAAGATAAGATATATTTATTTAAGAATAAAGTACATCCACTGATGAGGTACCATAATAGTAAAAATAACATAATTTTGGGATAAAAAGAACTATCCATTACTTCATTTGTTAGAGTTGTATCTTCGTGTTTTTTAATATTTTCTTCATATATTTTAGTTTCATTATCATGTATTAATGGTTGTTCTGTATCACGAGGTGTTAATGTATAATTTATACGAATTGAATGATTTTCCATTATATACAGTTTTTGTTAAATGTTTACAATATTACATACAATTACATTTTTTATCAATGATCACATTTTTATACGTCACATTTATATGATGTTTACATTTGTATGTTTCCTTCAAGAATTATGATAGGTTATGTTATCAGATATTTTTAAATTTATAATTAAAATTTTAATTTTAATATGTGATGTAATATAAAAAGTTTTTTAAACTTTATATTATGTTGAAATTAATATAAAATTTTTTTATTTAAATATTGATTAAAGTTATTTCATATTTATGAACTATACTATAAAATAATATATAGTTTTAATTGTACTTAAATTCATATGTTTACTATATATAAGATTATTTCTACATAACCTACAACATTATGCAAAACAAAATAAATGAATAAAACAGAATTTGTTGGTAAATTTATTTTTCTAATACATTTTTTATACATAATTTATATAAACAATACTATTTAATTTATTATTTATTTATTACTAATTTATATAAACAATACAATTAATATATATTTAATAATTATTAATTTATATATTTAATAATTATTATTATCATTATCATATTTTAAATAAAATATATATTACATACATTTTTCACATTTTTTCATACAATTTTTTTTATAAAACTAAAACTAATTACTAAAACTAATTATTTTACATGTATTTTACAATACATACAACAATATTTTATATTATAATTCAATGTGTGATGTTTTTTCAGATGAAGCTGTTTTTATAATTTTTTCAAAACAATATTTTGTAAAAAAATCTTGATATGCTAATAATGCAACATTTCTTCCACCTATTGCACTCATTTCCATTGCACTAGCAATCCATTCAATAGCATTAACATGATAAAGAGCATCATGTAATTTAAATTTTGCTTCATGAATTCTAGTTGAATATTCAGGATATGCTTTCCAAAAAATCTGTTTTGTTTCCTGAATCTTAAATATGTTAAACTAATTTTATTTAACATGTCATATATCATAATTTATATAAGAATTATTATCTTAATCTTACATTTGAAAACATTTCATTTATAATTTTTGATTTTAATGGTTTGTTGCTAAATATCTTCCAAACTTTACTATTTTTTATTATTCCATCTACAGAATTTAATCTTCCTATAGAATTAATTATAGTTTTGTTAGGATCACAACTTAAAATATTATCTAATTCTTCTTGCAAACCAAAATAATGTGGTTTTAAATCTGCTTTTACAAATGTAGCTACAGTTTCATGATATTTTTCAAAGCTATAAAAATCATTTTTTGGAAATCCTTCAAAAATAATAGGAAATTCCTGGTCATGAGTAAGTGGAATTGCCAAAATGACAATATCATATAATGCTTTCATTATAATTGTACTACCTGAAACAGAAATTATTTTTACTTTTATATAATATATACTTTTACTATATATAATATATGAATAATATTAATTCATTATACCTTGATTGCAATAATGTACTTCATATAAATTTTGAGTATTATTCTGTGATATGTTAATAATTTTAATTACATGTGAAGGCACAACATTTAAATGCTTATTTCTATATATTAAGTGCTCAGGTATCTTAAATATCAATATATTATTAGCTATAAATTAATAACTAGAAAATTAACATTAGTTAATAAGAGAGTAACCTTTTTATTTCCCCCTTTAACAGACCATAAATTAAAATCTGTTCCAGCTAAAGATACAAAACCAACAAAGCTATGAACATTTATATCTTGTCCATAGTTTACTACCAATGTTGTTTTAACAATTTCATTAATAATTTTTTCTGAATAACCAAGATCTAAAAGTTCATTTTTAATAGATTTTTGTACCAATTTTGGAAATTCAGTATTTATAGATAACAAAAAGCTACTAATATTTGTAAAAGTTTTTCCACTATCCTGCAGATGGTATATTTTTTCAAAATTATTTATTATAGAAGTTGTATATCTGTTTAAAATAATAAAATAAAATAATAATTATTATTATTATTAATAATATTTAATATTATTATAATATTAAATAGATACAATAAATAGATTTCTGATATAAGAATTTAATATAATTTTTCAAAAATATATGTGAAATACCTATTCAGACTAAATGGTTGAATACCATATCTATAAATTAACTTAATTAGTGATAATAATTCCCATTTACTTTCTTCAAATACAATTTCATTGCCATTCCAAATACTTGTTTTTTGATCATTAAATGGTCTATGTTCTAAGCCTAAACCATTGGATAATAAATATAGATTAGATTATAAGTACATCAGATATAAATATATAGATCAGATTATAAATTTTAAAAACAAAGATCATATTTTAAATAATTTTTTTCAATCACAAAATAAAAAGATATAAAATAAAATACCAAGTAGTTTAACAAATTCTTGCATGTATTTATTTTGAGAATGTATAATTGAACCTCCAGCTTCAAATTCATTATTATTAATTTTTATTGTAGCCAAACGTCCACCGATAGTTTTTGCTTCATATAAATCGATATTAAGATTATTTTTAAATAATTCTGCAAGAAAATGAGAACTTGCTGCACCACCAATACCACCTCCAATAATTGCTAAAAAATAATAAAAGTTTTTTAATTATAAAAAAAATTTATAAATTAAAAAAAGGATAATTTCAATATATATCGCTAATAGATGGTTTATTAGATTTTCCATTTATTAAAAATATTAAATATATATTAAATATATATTATACATAATTTATATATTATAACATATTAAAAATAATATTTTTATTATTCGTAATACATTTATTTTATATAATTTTTTTTATGGTTAAATATAAAATTTTTTAAAATTTTATTTTATATTATTATACATATTTTTTTTTTTTAAA